AAAGGGGCGGGGCAAGTCCAAACTAAAAAAAAAAAAAAAAAAAAGTATTTTTTTTACAAAATGAAATGTTCATCTGACAGTCACAGCTCAAACGCTGCTTGCTCAGCTGTACAAAGGATTCACAGAGATCCAACCTGTGTTTACCCAACCACTCTGTCATATTGAAATCAAACATAAAATAATACCTGCACACCCAGGGGTTTTTTTTATAAAAAGAAACCAGTCACAAATGGCTGCTCTGCAATGGCTCACAGCTGTGGCCGAGAAGCCTCTGACCAGCCTTAGATGGGCAGAGTTATGGTCGAATTATTTAAAAAAATGAGGTTAATGGAAAATATGAGCTCTAAGTCTGTAAACTCTTGAGTGGAGCTTCCCCAATTTTTGCCCAGACTATCCTTACCACCCCCACCTCTTTCCCACAGTCTCTCCAAAACCCATCTGACTTGTATTGTCAAGTAGGTTCTCTGCTGCAAACCTTATTAATGACCTCAGCTTTCCTTAAGGCTTTGCCCTCAGGCTGGTTTCCCAAGTGTTTACATGGAGAGAGTTTCATACATCATCTTCAAACACACCAAATCTATTTCCTCCGTATCTTTGTGTCTTTAAATATATATTTTCATCAAAAAGAAAGTTTTCAGAAGATGCAAATAATGAGCATGTTGATGCTGCTGAGGTACTCAGCGGTTAGATTTTTGGCAATTTAATACTAAATGTAAAATTCAGGTGGAATGATCTTTTGGAAGTACATCCTCCAGAAATGCTTTTTTGTCATCTTTTAGCATCATCCAATGTTGTAAGGAGGTTAGCGCCACATAAAAAGGAAGGGATGAAAAGCACTCATCCTTTTATAAGCAGCTTCTGAGGGAAGACTTGCAGCACTAAGTCAATTAGGAGGGCCTTTGTTGTATGTTTCATTCTCACTGTAGAACAGTTTCTCATTAAAAGGGAGCCCCTCAAAATATAAGAGAATATATGTGAAAAACAGAAGTAAAGTATTGTAATGCAGGAAAGAGCTCAAATGGCCCTTTCTAACATAAATCCCTCTACCTGAATTATTGCAACAGTCTGAATATGGTCACATACACAGAGGCCTGTGCATTAACACTGTGTGCACATGCAAATGCAAACAGCCCTCTGCCAAACACACACACCCCATCCCTTCCATGCAAATCCTATGAACGACATCAGTCCTGCCTCTGTTCATCTGCAGCAGGCAGGACAACACAAGGGCAGAGGTGTTCCTGGAGTCAAACCTTTCCTTTTAATCCACCCTTCCACTCCTCTCTCCAGAGCACAAAGAGGGTGCAGACTGGAGGAAAACGGTGCCCAGCTACACCCAATCCAACAACACTATGGACTTCCGTACATGGAGCTCTCTTCCCCGTGATGACAGCCTGGAGCCCCTGCCCCTTAACTGGGAAATGGCTTACACTGAGACCGGCATGGTCTACTTCATAGAGTAAGTGAAATACACAACCTACAGATCATGTGTCTACAGTAATTAGTACTCAAACCAATTAGTCAACTGTGTGATCGATGGGCTGAAATTCAGCAGTGTGTTTAGCCAGCTGTAGCCAAATCCATTAAAAACACCTCAGTGAGCCACAACATCGTACTCTGTGAAAAGTCCCTTCATTGCCAGGAACATGTCCGTTTCACATATATTCTAGCCGTGAATAGGACTCCTCCTTAATGCAACAAATGTGCATTAATCTGCATCTGAAAATATTACCCAACAAATCTAACAATTGGTTTAAAGGATCAGTGGGTTTGTGGTCTTTTCATGGAACATGATAATGGTAAGAAAAAGTAAGGATAATCAATAAAACAACAGAACCTGTAACGCAAACAGTGAGCAAGCTACAAGCATTGACATCAGCGTTATCGGGTGCGATACAGTCAGTGTTCTAAAATTTTGGGCAAGCCTGTTGTCACTTAAGTTAATTATGTCATCTTACTCCTGCAGCAGGCTGTGTTACAGGATTAAAAATGAAAGTTATTGTTGTGTTTCTGAATTCTGCAGTATTGTATTTACTGCTGTCTTCTTTATGCATAATAAAACAGAGATAAATGTATCTGTCAGTATCTAATCAGCCCAATAGTAGGGCCGGGTTTGATCCTGCATGTGTAATGATGGGTTTGTGATTTACAAGTCACATCATTTCTCATCACAGAGGGATTTTTAAAAGCGCTCGAGAGAAATATGTTCACATCAAAAGGAAATTACAAATGAACTGGGTAAAATATACACATACTCATTCTTCCATGATGACAGTCTTTAATGACAAGAGTTTAAATGTATCTGAGCTGTATTTATGACGGCATGAACACAGCTCAGAGCTTCGTGAAAGTATAAACACTCTGATTTATTGCCACTGACTGTTGTTTCAGTTCTTTTCTTTATCAAATAATGCAGCTTTTAAGTCAAGGTATTCATAAAAACATGTTAAGTTCTTTTTCTAGACCAGTCAGAGTTTTGATTTTAGAACAACTGAGCAGACGAACCTCTCCGAGTCCTATACCGTATGTGTGTGAGTGTACACATACAGTTCATGTGTGTGCAGCTCTGTATGTTTTAGTCATATTCAGCTCTAAGACACTTGTATCTGAAGATATAAGAAGACCATTGTAATTTTCCTTCTGATTACACACCCCAGTTTTTAGCACATTTGAGGATAAATGAGTTTGTTGTTTCCCATTCAGAAGGGTTTGTTCCACCCTCTGAAAAGTCCACCTAACCATAAACACAATAATTTGACAGTTAAATGTAAACCAGTGGCTCTGATGTTTGCTGACGATGTTTCCTCTTATCCCTGACATGAGAGCATAATATGCAGGCTAAGGTTGCAGCGGTATACCAGTTTCACTGTATACCATGGTATGAAAATTGATGGTTATCATTCCTTGTACATTTGCTTATTACTGGTATTCATGGGGAAAAACGCAGTGTGTGCACCTTTCTTCCCTGAGTGATGCAACAAGCACCACATGCACACAGGCAGCAGACAAATAGCAAAGGGAAGGAAGCTGACCAAACTCCATCCAGTGAAAAAGAAAATAAAATCAGCAGTGTTACTTTGGATAACTCAAAAACAAACACCTTCAGGAACATCATCCCTCCATGCAGATCAAAGTATATGGTGCATTTATAACTTCAGTCCCAATCAATAAAACATGTGAGTATGTAAACATGGTCATAAAATGCTCTATCAAAATAATTTGTTTATTCATTTACAAATCTCTGACTCTGACTGACCCCAGAAACACACACACAAACTTTCCCAGCTCCCATATGTGCGTGTGTGCATGCATGTGAATGAGTTGCTGTCATGGCACATCCTTTCAGTAGCGCCTGCAGCCGTAATTGTGTACACACCGTACATGCATTTATTTATTTATTTTTTTGGAATATGGTTTTGCTCAAGTTTTATGCCACTGTGTCTGGCGGTCATTGTACATAGAGAACTATTGATTCACATTTAAGGCCTGAGGAGCTCCAGTGTCTAATATAATATTGTATCACACATGCCTAGAATGGATCATATCATTTCTACTCCCTAACGTGAGCCCTGCAGCTTGGAGTGACTGACAGCAGCCACACACTGACTTGACCTGCTGTCAGTAATGCCTGTAACATCATCGGGACATGTGCAGGATGGGATGGGAAAAATATGTTTTAATGTGAAAGTATCCTATAAGAATGAGCAAAGTATCTTGTTATAATGAGGAAAGTTTCTCCTTAAAACAAGATTTACACTGCCATAGGCGGTCCTTGTGTGTACTATGAATTATAATCCCACAGGTGCCACTGCATCCTTTTGTCGGCCACTTGTGCATCAGTAGCACTTTCTCTGCTGGTGCAGGTCTTTTGTTGATATTTCCTGGCTGCTCTTTGTGCTCCACAGTCACAATACCAAGACGACTACATGGTTGGACCCTCGTTTGGCAAAGAAGGCGAAGCCCCCTGAGAAGTGTGAGGATGGAGGTATGCAGACTGCACTACTCAAGCTTGCTGTTAACATTCTGTTCATCAACATCATTCTGTTCGTGGAGACAAATTCCTTGTGTATGTAACATACTTGACCAGTAAAAGTGATTATCATTATCCTTAATACAGTGCCTGTTTTTACACAAGGGCATGCCTTGTATATGTCCAACAAAAGAGTAACCAGCTAGTGTGAAATCTTTGAAATTACTGAGTAATTCCTAAGCATCACAGTCATGTGGCCTAATTTTTCTCAAATCAGTAGCTGGGATCTACCTTAAGGAGGTCCAGATGTGTCTCAGGAAGCTCTTTTCTCCTTCTCTCTCTCTCCTTCTGCCTGGCATGTTCATTAGGGCATGATGTGCATCAGCCAGAAACCACAGAAATGTTCACTAAATTACTGTATGGTATTTCCATGGCTACTTTCTTATGCAAAATGTCCCAGTCAGGGAGAGAAATACACTGGTGAATACTGCTGTATCTCACTACCATGTTGAATGAGTTACAACTCCAGGGTCATTGACTTGTTAATATTGTGCCTGCTCTTCTTCATCTTTCTTCCATTCTGTCCTGTTTGTCCATATTCCCTATGTACATCCTTCTTCAACACAATGTCATGCTATTTTGTTTCTGCAGAGTTACCTTACGGGTGGGAGGAAATTGATGATCCACAGTATGGCACATATTATGTTGAGTAAGTTTTGCTGATACATCGATATATGTCATTTTCAAGTACTGCAGCTGCCATCATCACAAATATTGTTTTCACACACTTGTTTGTCTCAGATGGGCATAACACAAAAGCACATTTCACCAAAGGGATCACAGCATTAGAATTAGCATTGTCTAAAAATAAACAAAGGGATCTGGCACGTGGCTTGTTTCTGTTAATCTTGGGTGAGGATGCTCTGACTTATGTAACATGCAGAGAGGAAGTACTTACCTGGAGAACAGTTGAAGACTGATCAGGATTTTCCTATTGTTTATCAGTGGGCGGCAAAATGAAACTCTGCCAGTGTTTGTGTAAGTAAGAGCGTTTGTGTGAGTTTGTGTATACAGCTCTGCTTAATGTTTGTATATTTGTCTGTGTGCAAAATGTGTTTTTATGCTCACCAACCCAGTAGGGAATCTGTGAAACAGCCATTGTAACAGCAGTAGAGAGAAATGGCAGATTTCAACTAGAATGCATGGAGGGAGGAAAGTGGGGGCTGGAAAAGAAGGTAGCAATCTGCTGTGATGAAAGGAAAATGGAATCACTCGCCTTGTTTTATTGTTCAGACTGTAGAAGGATTACTCCTAGGTAGAAGTGACAGGGGAAAGAAACTCACACTTTTTAGGACAAAGACAGTCAATGGCATGGAAATGGAACCTGTAGCTGCCAGTGTTTTAAATGAGTCCGCTATGAAACAATGGCTGTTGTTTATATGCCAGAGGGTCAACGGGCTGTTTACCTTGTTGTAGAGGAACGGGGTGTTGCTGGCAGTTGGGGGCTTTGCGTCATACAATATTAAATGGCTAAAAGCTATAGCTTCTCCACATAAAGAAGAGGCAAGTCAGCCTTTATTGTATGTGCACTCTGAGTGTATTTATAATGGCACCACTATAGTGTCGCTCTATTAGAAAATCATGGCTCCTTTACAGAGAAGGTGCATTTATAATTAATGGCAGAACAATGGTGCAGTGAGCTCGATAAGTCTGAGGTACTGGTGTGTGTGTGTGTGTGTGTGTGTGTGTGTGTGTGTGTGTGTACACTCACTGAACACTTCTGCCTTAACATCTGTGTTTATGAACCTCTAAATGTTTCAGTTTCAATTCAGTTTAATTTTATTTGTATGGCACCAAATCACAACAAAAGTCGTCTCAGGACCGTTTACAAAGTCAGGTTAATATTTTAGAAGAAAAACCCAACAAATCCCTCTTGAGCAGCACTTGGTGACAGTGTGGAGGAAAAACTCCCTTTAACTGAAGAAACCTCTGACAGACCCCGGCTCTTGGTGGGCGGCCTTCTGCCTTAACAAGTTGGGGTGAGTGGACAGAGGAGAGAGAAAAGAAAAGAAACACAACAATTGACAAAAATGTGTAAATTCAATTGTATGTTTATTATTGAGGTCATAGTTAAAAGTGGTGTTGTAAGATGTCTCTATATATCTTTGTCCTCCCCAGCTACATACATGAGAGGGGCAGAATATTAGGAACACCTCTGATTATAATGTAGTTCAGTACAATACCTCCTTATTGAATTGCACACAATAACTAACAAAGTGACCGGTGAGTGTATATATACCGCATATTGTGTGTGTGTTTGGAAGTTTCTTCTCTGTAATTTGAACCTGTTCATGTTTCAGCCACATCAACCAGAAAACCCAGTTTGAGAACCCAGTCCTGGAGGCAAAGAAGAAGCTGAGCCAGGAGACTGCTGCAATGCAACAGGCCTCAGCAGCAGCTTCCCAAGGTAACAACAGGACATCATAATCTGTTCCCTTTATCAGCTTCCTCTTTATTTGAGTCGTTAGGAGAAATAAAAACCTCTGGGATGTCATAACTGCAGAGTTAAATAAAGCACACAAAGAATTAGACTTTGCACACATGGAAACCTGCAGCAACTGAACTGCATCTGTAACACATCGGACACTGAGATAATGCACTGTTTCTTGTAGGATCAGATGTCTCCCTCAGGTTTATAGGACATGCAAATACATGTATAACTGTAATTACTTTCACCAGCTTTCTGACTTGCACTGTAATTACCTGTCCTGAAGAAAACAAGAAATTCCAGTAAGACCGAAGCTGTTGGTGCTTCAGTACCTTCTGCTGCTCTTATTCTTCCCAACACTCTTACTTGACCAAGTGCTTCTCTAGCTTCAGTAGGTAACATTTTACCAGACCTTATTCTATTTCTGTACCCACTGTAAATCACTCTGGACATGAGCATCAGCTAACTGTCTAAAATATAACTGTAGTTTAATTACTTTGCCTTGTGCTGTGCGTAGAGGCCAACCCTTTAACCTTAGTCGGTGTGCTATCATAAATGTGCTTCCTGGGAATCGAAGCAGAGAGAGCGTCATCATTTCATGCAAGGGCAGCTGAAAGTGTCAACCTTCAGTAGCCTCAAACAATAATAAATTGTCACCGAGTCTTTTTTTTTCTGTGGTTTGCTTATATACTGTAATAAAAGTTTTTGTCAGTGCTCTAGCAATGGCCCGTTCTTTAGGTTGACAAGGCAATTTTCTCCTGCAATAAACATTATGAATAAAGTATGTTTTCATTATAATGGATGTATAATAGATTACAGTGCTGCAGTAGTGGTGATAGGCTCGTAATGCTGGCAGGAATTCAGGGAGCGAGAATGCAGGGAAGGAGGACAGCTTTTAGTGATGCATGTGCCAACAGCTGGTGAAACAGCATGTCAGAGGGGCCGAGCACAGTCAGACATCTCTCTGCTCAGGTGTGTGGGGACTGAGGAAACCTCCAGCTCTCCCCTGATTACCGATTATACAACCTAGTGAGCTGTCAGACGGTTGCTATGATGAAATGAAAGCATCATCAGTTGGTCGTTACACCTCAGGCTATAATTCAGACTTTAACAGAGATTATCTGTGGGGTTTTATACGTTAGAAATTATTACTATTTAAACATACACCAATCAGCCATAACATTATGACCGCTGACATGATGTCAACAGTGGTCTAAGGAAGAACAAACAGTGAACTTGCAACAGGGGCATGGGCATCCAAGGCTCTGTGAGGTTGACCTACTGTAGATAAAGATTTTACATTTCATTCTTCCCTTTCAAAAGATTCCATTTAGTTTGAACATTTGTTAAAATGGTTGAAAACGAGAAACACTATACATTGGTCTTTATAAAAAGAAACATTCAGCAGCTGTAGTGGTGATATCACACTTAGAGCAGGGAGACTGCTGAATTTGTCTAAAAAAATGATCTCTAACTTGTCCTCACGACCAAGGTTTTCACTCCTTTTACATGAATTTTTCAGTGAATGATAGACACATCCGTGCTTTTCCTGACAGTAGAACTATGGAACCACACGGATTCACACTGAGCTGCAAAGTGACACGAGCGCCAGCCGACTGCCACATTGACTCCTGTGTACACAGTGTTAGGGAGGTGGCCATAATGTTGTGGGTGATCAGTGTAAATAAGTACAGTATGTTAATATAATACAGTATGAATATATAGATAGATAAATAGATATAGAGTCACATATGAGAATTCAAAAACCATGGCTGTTTGATGCAGTGGATCTGATGGTTTTGTCTGCCTTTGCCTTTTAAGATCTGCCCACAGACACTGGCTCAAAGACCTGCCTTGGACTCTCCCACACAAGTGCAGGCTCACACATGCCACGCTTACTTCCTC